TTGCTTCAATTCTCCAAGGGAAGAAATGTGGCTCTTGTGGGAAAGGTCCACCCCTTTCTACATGTTTGCTTCCTTGAACGAAAGGAACACACCCCCTTACATTCTTTGAAATGTGTCCAACAATTGTAATAGCACTGTATTATTGACTAAATTAGAAAATCTTAAGTGATAGTCAAATATTGTTAATACGCTGTGTATTTTGAGTCAGGAGACCTAAATGACACATACACAGATAACAGAAATGAAGTTCAATCAAGTATCTACACTTGGATGCTTAGAATGTTTGTGTTAGTAGAAGAAACTCATAAATGTTTTTGTGTACATGTATGTTGTATGACACCTCAGGAAGAGGCCCATGAATGTTACAAGTTTTTGACTGCCTCCTTTCAATTTAAGACCTATTAGAGGAATTACCCCTTTCTTTCATAATTATAGTAGAGAAAAAATATTTAGAAACTTAGCAAGTAGAACCAGAGAGTTGTTTGAAATCACAAATGTGCAAAAATATCACAGGTCTGCGCTTATCATCCTAATGGCAGAAAACTCACACCAAAGTTGGTACCCACTAACTTCTACCTCATTAAGACAAGCTGCCGGTCATTGGATATTACGTTCTAACAGGACTTCCCATTATGTAGAATAATGTATTTCCTTCCAAGGCAAGTTTTTCTTTTGTTGTTATTTTCTAATAAAGTAATATACTCCACATTTATAGAAAATTTTGCATTTATCTTTGATTTTATCTTTTCTAAATATTCTTTTTCTTTATTCCACTTTTACAAAGAAATTTGCAAGTGTAAAGATACAGCAGGCAAAAAAAAATTATATCTCTTTTAAGATATTTTAGTGTTTAAATGAAATGGATAGTCCTTGTGCAATTTATCAGGCATTTCAGAATGAACTCAACTATATAATTAATTCCCAGGCCTACAAAATGGAAGCTTTGTTATTTGCCTGTGTTTCTCACTTGAAGTAAGAGTGAATATATAACTGGAACTCAAGGTAATAAACTTATTAAAACTTAGTAAGATATTGTTATGGTCAAAGAAAACCCGCAAGTACGTGCCACAAATCCACTCAGAAGAAACATCTCATTCACTAACATTTTCTATCTTATTATAATAGTGCACAGAAAATTAAACACATAAATATTAATTTTATGTATCACAGATGATGTAGGCAATGAAAATGCAATGTTTACATTTATGGGTGACTCATTAGTGTTTTATTGTGTGAAACACTAGGAGGCATCAGTTGGGTGAAAAAGGACTTCAATTTTAGAAGAAGCAAGAAATTACTGTAAAGTTGGATGTGTAAGAAGTTAAGATTTTTTAAATGTTATTATGTAAACCAAAACTTTATTCTCTGAAATAAACCCTCAAAACATCATATTCTGTTGTAAAGAATGACCTTTATATAACATTCATGAAATATATATATATAATTTGACCAATGAACTTTTATGAAGATATATTTCAGATGTATGGATTCATAACTGTGTAATTACATATTTTTATGTAGAAGAGTTTGTACAACAGAATAGCATAATGGATATTGACTATTATGAATTTTCTGCTGAATTACTCAATAACATGAGTGTATGTTTTATTTCTGGCAAATTCTGTTTTGTGCTATTTATAATGCCTCTGAAAATGTCTAATGCATTTAAGTATTACAATACCTGCTTCGTGTAAGCAGACAATTTGATGTTTGTTCATAAAGAAATGAAGGAACTTAAAATTTACACAATGAGGACATAGATAAAAAAGGACATGTTTTCTCTTACTTCACTACTGAAAGCCTGTCATTTGAAAACTGAATTTTCCATTGTTTGAATGGTTCATAATGATGAAGCAACAGGGTCAAAGTATACTTATCTAGCAATCATTTGAAATTGAGTGTCTTGCCATTCCTCAACAATCAGCTTTTATCTTTGACCTATCAAAATAACATGTGAACTATGTAATCTGCCTTTTGTAAGGTGCATAGACTCTGTTGTTGTTCCTGGTTTTGTGAATCACCTCTGTAATCTGGTTTGACTTCCTAAAGGTGACAGATCTCGGTGAACAGTCAAGCTTTACTGAGTGCAAGATAGTCCACGCGCCTATGAGATTAAGGTACAGTGCTAAGGACGGGGATCTTAATTACCTATCTTTCCACATGCAGCATACTGATGAAACATCAGTGATTAAATCACTTCATCGTGTCCAGGCAATCACCACATTAGTATAGAATGAATATGTGTATTTTGATAAGTTTTAGATATTAATTTGTGTGGCATTTTCTCAGAGGATGAGCTTTTGAAAAAGAAGTGTAACTTTATTAATAATCTCTTTACAGTCCATCTTGTGACCATGAATTGCATATTAAATTCTTCTACGTTGCTTCAAATCATGTCCCCAAAGCCAGAATTCTCTGTTTAATAATTATCTTTGTTGTTATGTAGCACAAGTATTGCTGCACAGCTATTTCCCCATTTTTGTCACTTTCTGAGATTTCATAGACTCAAATTATACCACACTTTAGAGTTGAGAAATAAAACCACAAAATATACTTCAATAAACAGAAGAAAGTTTTAAAAGATAATGTTAAGATATGCTAAGGAGTTATTCAGTGCTGTTCTTTATAAAAGAAGTTTAAATACAATAAATTATTTATTGGAAAGATACATTTGCAGTGTTATGCAATTTATTGATTCCGTTAAGTTAGGGCCAAGGAAAAAATTTCAGGTATTATTTCCCCCAAATTTTGCAAAATGAACATGTTTACAAAGAAGAAAAGATGCAAGTTGCCTCTTGTTATCTAAGTTTCATGGAGTTATCTAGTATTAAAGTGCTTCTATCTTGAAAAGTTAATATCGGTGATTGCACACTTTTAAAATATGAATAGCTCAGAAAAGGTGGAAAACTGTTTTTATTATAAATTGCTCATTCGTTATTGAAATAAAAAACAAATTAACATTTAATAAAACTGACACTTTAATATTATCTTTCAATATATTCCACATGCACAGCAATCAGGATGTAAATGGTATAATTAATGAGTGAAGTAAAATGCTGCCTTTCCAAAGCCTGAAAAAAAGTCAAACACTCCAATGTTGTGTGAATTATATTAATAAAAATAGTAGATTTTTATAAAATTTAGTAAAACTTGAAGTACAGATAACAGCCACCTACTGCCTGTTTGACAGGAGAATCAAATTTTAAGCAAATGTTATGTTTAAAGACTGTTTTAATGAAAACTTTTAGAATTGAGTTAGTAGCCGAATACACAGCTAAATGTACTTTTCTATAGATTGAATGAGATATTTAAAATATTTCTTTCCTCTTGAAATTGGATGTTAGATAGGGACATCTCATTTTACCTATCAAGTTCTGAGTCTTGCTTTAGAACTACTTCTTTTAACTTAAATAATTTCATGCATACACTGGAAGACAATAATATGGCTTTTAACAGCATTATCTTTAATTGAAACTGATCAAGAAACAAAAATACTGCTTATACCATATTGGTACATACTGAATGTTTTTAAAGACTAGCCAAAACTGACATTATTTTTTTAAATTAAATAAGATGTTTTAGTTTCAAATTAGAGATTGTTGATCTATTTAAAGCTAAAATTGGTATGCAATACGAGGTTAAACGGGGTTCACAGGTGGTCACATTTCCATGTCCTACCAAGTCTCTAGGGACTGGAGTTATTATACTCCACATAAACATCTTTACTCTGCAACCACAATTCCATTGCAAGGTGCCAGTGAAAGTAGGCTGGTCACTTTTTTTTTTTGGACTGGTATAATGAGGTGGCTGGAGTTTCCTTTATAGCACTTAGAAATTATATGCAGTCCCCAAGCATTTCATAAGACAGTTACTATTAGAGTTAGTTTCAGATTCACAATAGTAAAACGCACTTTGTGTCAAAGCAATTCTCCACTGAGGACCGGTTAAGGAACTGGCAGAGAGCCCAATTCTACTTATTATACTGTCAGCATTTACATATAAAGTATTTTATACAAAAGACACGCATTCCTAAAATGTGACAAAAAAAGGCTTTCCCCAAAGAATGATAACTACTGGACTTAGAATAGTCAGAAGTGATTCAGATATAAAATTTCCTTTAAAAATCAATAGCCATGTTCAGGGAAGGAAGATAACATTAGCATTAAATGTAAATACTTCTATAACATTTAATAATACAATAAACAACGTGTCACATCTATATATACTTCCTTTGTGCCAAACTTTATCATTGAGTTTGGTAACTTTCATTCCAAGTCTAAAGAGAAGGCAATTTAAGTGACTTAATCTTGCTTGCTTTTAAACGGCTATATATTTGACTTGACCTGAACAGCAAACTATACGCTGAAATCGAACGTGAATTGTGAAATGTGTAGACTATCATGGCAGGGATATTACCTTTTGTCCACAACAATTAAGAATCCTTCTGTCAAGCCAGCACTTTGGTGAGGGAAGGAAATGCACAAAGGTATACTCTGACAGACAGCCATGCTTTAGCTCAAACTAATCCCAAGAATTAGTGGCTCAGAAGCATAACCCAGGGCAAATCAGTGTCTTTGAGGGACTCATGGGAGCATCTTTCCACAGTGAACTAACTGCTAAATCTTAAGGCATCTACTTCAAGGTCACAGAACATGCTGTGAAACATTAAAATCCACCAGGCTCCACACGCTCCACCATATCAAACATGCTAATGACGTGAACTAACTTCATGAAACTTTAAATACACTGGTGTGACAGGAACGAGTCAGGAGTGATTTCAATAGCTGATGGCAAACGGATACGACTATCTAAAAAGTTACTTTTAGCAACAAACAAGGAAATCATGGAATCTAACGAAAAGAATGCACAACGAACCTCAACTTCAGCCTTCAAAAAAGGCACAGGGATAGATAGACACAGTGCCGTGGAATATATTGATGCAGATTTTAGAGACAATACCCGGGTTTTCTATTTCCTCGAGAAATGTCAGGGGTACTTACATGAAGGAAGACCCGATCAGATTAGTCCTTGAGATATTTTCCTTTCTTAAGAGAGAGAGAGAGAGAGAGAAAAAAAAAAATAACAACAATAATCTTTACTTCGTCCAGCGTTGAAGTGCTTCTCCACCTGATTCAAACATGCAGCCACGGCGACCCACACAGAACCTTCAAAGTCAATCCAATAGCAGCCCGAAGATGTCTGGGTGTACGCGTGTGCTCAAGTGTCTGTGACTGCGAGCAGAGCGAGCAGAGAGCTGGAGACGATGTGTGCGTGTGTGCGCGCGCGAGGGGAGCGCGCGCGAGGGGGGGGGCGCGGGGCCGCGCATTCGCGCGCGCCGAGGCCGCTCCGAAGAGGAGGAGGAGGAGGAAGAACGAGGAGGAAGAGGAGGAGGAGGAGGAGGAGGAGAAAGTGGCTCTCAGCGGCCGGTCGGATTAAAAGTAACCAGACTCGTCCAGAAAACTGCGTCCAGGAAGGAAGTGACAGAAGACGAATGGGAAAAGGAGAACAGCTCACAGCGTTTGAAACATCGCGTAAAAAAGACTGGGGGTGGTGGGGGCGGGGGGATGGAAGGATACTGGGAGGGGAGACGGGGGTGGCAGGGAAGACTGAGCACGAAGGGTTGGGGTTCTAAGCAGCACGTCCGATGAAGTGTCTTTTGCCTCTTTTTTTCCCCCCTTTATTTAATTTTGTCCTTGCCTTTGCTTCGCGCTGCCTTTTTCTCTCCGTCTCTCTCTCCCCCACAATCCCAAACCGTTGACTCTCCTCGCGAGCTGGAGAAATCATCAGTTTCACTCTTGCAAAAGGGGGGCGGGACTAGACCTCGGAGCGTTTTAATAAAACAAACATACAGCAGCTCCCTCCTCACCCCTCCAGTCTCAACTAGATTGATAAATTACTCCACTACACTACTTTAATTATGTATATGGTATGCAGAATAAATCACTGAACATCAGTACCTCAATCAAGCACTTTTAAATGATAATTGCATCTTGGTGAATCAATCTTTCCATTCCTGACATTTTGCTAATTTTAGTTTTACGGTGGGGTAATAGCACATGCCATACGCAAACCTAATGACAATTCTTTATTGCACGAAATGAAGACAACACGGCGAGCTGCGGCTCCCTGCTCCTCTCCCGGCGCCTCCGCGGAGGACGCTAGGAGAGAACCTAGTCTCCCGCTGCGGCGCGCTCGCTCTCCGGGGACGCTGCGAGCCAGCCAGCAGGAAAGTCCTTCTAAAGTCGGAATCTTTCCTCTGACCAATAGGAGCGCGACCCTAATAGTTGCTCTTGTGACTTTTCCCCCTTTTGGACACGCGTTAGCCACTTCTCTCTTCCACCGGTCGGTGCGCTCCTCCGTTACTCACGCGTAAAAGCCACGGTCCAGGATGTCTGCAGCACTCGATTCCAGCGTGCTTTTCCTGCACGCCCAGAAGTCGCGGTTTTCACCCTAAGAGGTTGGAGCGCTAGAAAGCGAGCCGAAAGGTTTCTCTAATGTTAGTAATGTACGAAATAATAAAATAATTACCAGTATTTGACATCTCGACTCCATCACGGAGCCATGAACTTTCTAATCAGTTTGGAAATATTTACCGAGGCAGCAGCTTCCTCGGAGTTCCCCCCCTCCCCCCACTCTGTCTTTTCCACACCTTACTGGACTTCATCCAGGTCATTAACATGTAAACCAAACCAACTTCCCAAATGCATTAGGCTACCCTAGCCGATAGCTGATGACTTCACTTATCCTGAAGAGTTTCAGCTGCACAGGAAGCAGAAATAGAGACTGATAAGGGAGGATACTTATGTTAAGGTTAAAGGATAAACACTTTTTCTTACATATATATATATAGGCTTTAATATTTAGGAAAGGCTACTAGAGATTGGGCACCTCCCGCCCTAACCAACTATTAATATATACCATGCCCAATAAAGCCAAAGATAAAATACATAAACTAGTATAGAATCATTAAAAGACAAGATTGCATGCCAGTAGAATTACAGATGACATAAAATGTTTAAACCAAATTAATTTTTAAAAAAATATTGTGAAAGCAAGAAGGGAAAATTCATAGAACATAGAATGTATGAGAGTAGACAATAGGAGTATATTGAAATATCTAGCTAACTGAAGATATTTCCTCACTTTAGAAAATTCATTTTAGCACTAAGTTTAACCCAATGACTAGTTGTATTTCCTGTTAAGTTCAGCAATATGCCTCCAGACGAGTGTTTTAATGTAAGAGGACAGTATGGTTCAAAAAGCCTCCTGCTTCAATGTAGGAGGTATTTGATGTGAGTAGCTTCTCTCAGAAGAGTGGGCTCAACATTTAGGCAACAGTCCCAAGGCTTCACTTAAAAGGGGAAGATTTATTTTATAGGCAAGTACAACTAGATCTGAACAATCTTCAAGCTTCCAGCTCCTCATTGTGACTATCAGCACAACTGAGACCATTCCCTTCCTTTTATTATAGGAATGCATCACAAACTGTCACAAAGCAAAAACTATCTGAAATAGTAGTATTTCTTGCAGATTAGTATCTACAACGTATTTTGTTTGCCGGTTTTTCAAATGGTGAGTTTTCCATTACCATGAATTCATTTTAATAATATGGCAGAGAGCATCTATATCAGGTTTCCATTCAAAGTACAACTTCTCTGAAAATCCAAAAATTTAAAGGGCAAAGATATTTTGAATACTAAGATACGTCTATATATGGTGGTAAAAATAAAATTAATTTTCTTCAAGATTCACAAAGGTCCTGAAAAAACAAAGCATTTGAAGGATCATCTAAGTTTATTGCCATAATGCCTAAAATTAATGCAGTGAATTACAACAGTCTATTTGACATGAGCAAACACATAGCCAAAACATGAATTTCAGCCCTGCTGTTTTTGATGAATTATAGAGAGTATTTCTGTTTACCACAGTACACTTCAGTTTTAGATTTTCTTTCAAAAAGAAATTATTTTATTTTACCTTTTCATATTTTAATTATTTAATAATAAACATTATAACAAACCCATAATTATCAATGATACTGCAAGCATTCAAAAGTAAGTATAACCCCACACTGGATAATTTGAAAATAATTTGGATCTGGAATGTATCACAGTTGGCCTTTTAAAATATAGGATTTTCCCCTCAGCAGATTTAGCTTCTTAATTATGTGTGACCTAAGTTAATATTACCATTAGTTTTCTTCCCATGAGCCTTTAGAGTTGAAGCAGAAGAGATATGAAGACATATACAATAGAAAATCGCCTGAGATTTAAAATTATTCATGAGTAATCCACAAAGTAGTTAATCCAGAATGTGCTTTGTATTCTTTAAATACTTCTGGACTTTTGGTTTCTGTTTTTGTTTTTGTTTTTTCTTTAACTAAAATCAACCTGATCCTTGCCATCTAATGATACTTGGTCAGGATCAGACTATTTTCCAATGTAGGGAGGAGCTTGTGCTAGGTGTCAGGAGACCTGGATTCGCTACCTAGTTCAAAATTTGTGCCTTACTAAGGGATTTGTCCTTTCTAGGCTTCAGTTCGCTTATGTGTTAAATGAGTTCTGTAACCTATTCCAGTTCTATGATTGGAAAACAGAAAATATTTCTACCCTTTAAACCAATTGGAAGGTAGGGTCTATCCAGTTAAATAATAAGTGACAATTCCTTTAACAGAAAATTATGTCTGGGATTGATGTACCAGCTTTTTTTTTTTTTTTTTTTCTAATCACCAAACATTTCCTACATTAAATAGTAAATGCTTTATTGTGAATGTAAATATAGTCACTTGTTTTTCCCTCAAAATAATTATATTTAGCAATATATTTAATTAAAGTGTCATAGAAGTTACAGAGAGCATGCTCCTCGGGATTTTAACTACAGGGAAAGCTAATATTGCAATTTCTGTTCAGAGCTGCATACCATCTTACTCCATCCTCCTCTCTTCACTACTTCCCTACATTAAAGCAGCGGTCCACTAAAGCCCTGTGCACTGGGTCTGCCTGCTTTTAAGCCTGGCCCACGCTGGGTGTAGCTCTTGAAGTGAGCTTTAAAAATTATTTTAAAGTGAACTGGGGCGGTTGCCACAGCAACCCACCCTGAGATGAAGAAAGGCTATAGATTAATCTACCCCTTAAGATTATTCAACTGTATAATATTTGTTCCTCAGTCAGAATACTTTTAACACAAACATGGTAAGTGAACATCGTAGTTTAGAAAGATCTAAAAAGCAGTGAGACACAAATTCCAATAGCATTACATATTTTAATCTTTGTCTAATTATAGTATTGATGATACACAGGACTTCCCATGAAATAGATTAATTGTTTAAGATACAGTACTTGCAAAAGTAGGCCCTGAAAGGTGACATGATCTTTAAGCAAAATGATATGTCATTGCTTATAATATAAAGTGTATTGTGGTCATTTAACTCTTTATTATTGTTACACACGTCTATTCTGTAAATACCTAAGGCCAAGGAGTTTGGCAGTTCTACCTTTATGGTAACTCTGTGGTAAATGATAAAAACAAATGTGAGCACTCACCACATACACTTCTTTACTGCCACAGTCATTTGCCTTCCGTTCTTTACTTCATCTCTTCATAGAAGTTACTTCACAGTTTGCAACTCTTCTTTGGCACCTTCAAATGTGGAAGTGCAAAAAAGTATATAGTATTTTGTTAATGCTGATATGAAAGTACTTTCAAATAGATTTATTTCTAAAACTTCTAACCTGAAGTAACAATACTTCGATTTTAAACCAAAGTGTTTTGAATATAAGATTATTGAAATTGTCATTTATTGTGATAACAATCTTCAATATAAAGAGTGCCAAATATCTAAATTTCAAAAATTCACTAGGTGCAGCATTAACCCAAGCAGCATATACAGCATGTGGACTGTCTGTGATTGAGCATTTGCAATATACAAAGGATTTGTTATTTCAAGACAGGGTTTACACATATCTAAGGAGTCTATATTTACCTGTATTTCTGTACCTTCAGTTTTATATCTGATAGAGAATTACAGAAGAATGTCAAATCCATTATATCCGAAGCTAACACAATTTGTCAAATTGGGAAATGTTTGCAATGCAGTTGAGGTTGCTGAGAGGGCTTATTTTATGCATTGCCTAAAGGCCAATTTAAAATACTTTGGAATTAGTGATGTGTATTCAGTATGGTTTATAAATTCTATTACCAATAATACCTTATTCTTCCAAGCAGTGTTTAACTGTACTGAGCACAGACAAATGCTCCTGTGTTCTGATTTCTGTTTTAGCCTAGCTTTCCATGACTTTGTGCACACAAATGAACGTTTCCTTGGCTTCAGACTGAGGCTAGTCCCAGAAAGAAAACCAGCCTTGAGACACTTCAGACCAGGATGGTCAATATCTATTTTCCCATTTGTAATAGCAAGAGGACTTTGCATAGTGGAGAATCATTTACAAAGCCTCTATATTTGAGTTGACATCTCTGAGGTTTATTTTTAAGTTGCTTCAGAGTCAAAGAGAAATGAAGAATTTTGGCCAGTTTTATTT